CCGAGCGCGGGCGGGCGACAGGATCAGGTGGTGGCCACGGCTCAGCGCCAGGGGGCGCGCTCAGCACGCGAGCGACACCTGCCAGCTCCTCCCCTCTGCCCAAACCTCGTTCCCTCCCCCCCTTCTTGTCCATACCCCACTGGACCGCATCAGTCCTGGGTTCCTTCTCTTCCCCCTCCCTTACGCTTCTTCCTCCTTCCCCTCCTGTCTCCCCTCCCTTCCTTCCCCCTACTCTTCCTGCCCCAGGGCCTTTGCACTGAGCCCAGGCCCGCCTGAGTCCCTCTTCCCTCTTTCCCAGGCCACTGAATCCTCAAGACCGGCTTGGTCCCCATCCCTTCCTGACACTTCACCTTCCTGACACCCATTGCCACCCCAGCACCCTGGGTGAGCACCTGGTCCCAGTACTGCACAGGCTGGTGCTTACCGGGTGGGGGTCAAAGTCAGAAAAAGTGACAGTGTCTCAGTCCCGGTAGAGGGCAGGAGCCACAGGTGGAGCCTGGCCCACAGCGCCTCTCTCTCTGTGCCTTTCTCTCATAGTGTGTGGAAACCACCTGGCCCTGCAGGAACTTCTGTGACCCTGATTTGTGCACCTACACGGTGTGGGGGGGCTTAGCCCCGGCTGGGCCCCCTGAGTCTGTCCCTACCGTCCTGCAAGGGGACACCAAGTTCACCCTGAAGAGCAGGTTCTGGGCCCAAGTCTGACACATTTATTCTATTTTAATTTGGAGGGTACACAAGCGGGGTGCTACTGAGCTAAATCCTCGGTCCTAATAAGTAGCGTTTATTTCTTTATGTTTATCTTTGTGGTGCGGGGGTGGTACCCAGGGCCTTTGCACTGAGCTGCATCCCCAGCCCTCTTTGGATTTTTAAAATTTTGACACAAGGTCTCACTAAATCTAGGCCCCTCCCCAGCTCATTGCCTCATCCCTGCAGACCCAGGAAGCGGCTCTTCCCTTTCCGGGGCACCCTTGCACCCCCAAACTGCGCCACCAGATAGGTCCTGTACATCTCCGGGGCTGGGACGGTCCACACACAGCCTCCCAGCCCAAAGGTCCCTGGGCTGGCGACCCTGCACCCCTGGCTTTGGTTGCTCCAGCGGAAGCAAGCACAGGCGGATTTGGGGTCCCCGGAGCTTCTCTCCCACTGACCATGTGACCCGGACACTGTGGGACCCGAGGAGGTGGCCGAAATCTGGGACCCAAGGCTCCGAGCCCCATTGCCACAGACAGGAAATTGCATGGATTCCAAGGGAACATGGAGGAAGAAAGATAAGGCCAGGCCCGGACCGTAGGGCCTGGCAGGAACCCAGATGTGGGTGAGGGAGGCATCTGCGGGACTGTGGCTGTCACTTTCAAGTGCTTTTCTGGGGCGGGCGCCCCATAGCGGGTGCTGAAGGATGAATAAGAGCTTGGGGGTTGCAGATAACATTCTGAGAGAGGCCCGGCCTAGATGTGCCTGGGGATTCAGGTTTAAATCCAAACCGTACGCTTTCTGCAGGAGGCAGGAAAAGCAGCACGGTTACCCTCCCCAGCCTCAGGTTCCCCACGAGGACGGGCAGGGGGGCATCCGGGCTCTGCACACCAGGTGAGGTCCTGAGGGAGCTTTCAGGAAGAGGCAGCTGGGCACCCTGGCATGGTGGAGGGGTCGCAGGACTTCGGGGTGTGGCGCAGAGGGGTTCCCACGCTCACCCATGGGGGCTAACCCTGAACTCAGGCGACAGTGACTTCCAGGAACTGAGAACAAGTTCTTTCCTCTCGAAAGGAGTGTTTATTGTTTTGGAGCAGAAGACCCCAGAAGGAAGAGACCCCAACCGTGACCCCGAGAAGCGGCAGAGGAGCCCCACCCCACCCCCAACCCGACACCCCGCAGATCGGCGGGTCTGGGGACTTCGAAGCCAGGGAGCCCATTCGCATCCATCGCATCCATCCGCCCTCCGCCCGCAGGCTGCGGCCTACAAGGT